ACCAGATTAGAACTGTTGTTCCAGCTTAAAAATTCAATAATTTTTTCTCATTAAAAAGAAATACAAAAATAGAGGCCTAGATGTCTTAAGAGATTAGATGTCATTCACAAAATCAAAGAGCATGTGATGGTGCATTATTCTACATCTTCTAGTGTCATGGTTAGACCACACATTAGGGACTCCAGGTTCATATTTCTCCTTTTGTCTAATACAAAAGAAATTAGTCTAAATCTTCCATCTTTTCAAGGAGCACTTTATTTCAAGTCTATTGTCTGTATTACCTGTTTTGCTACAAACTGAACTCATAACTACATTCTACAGGATGCTTACCTTTTAAAATTAGACTATTTGAAAAACCCAGTGACAATAGATAAATAATTTATGTGCTTATCAGCACTTACATTGCTTAGACAAATATCTTTGTACTGTCTGTGAAAAAATATTTCATGTTTTGTACCTTATGGTGTGCTTTTGTTAGACATGTTGGATGCTTGAACCCAAACTGGGATGTTACAATTAGTCTGGATGGACAGCCAGATGGGTTTAAAAGAAAGAGGACGGTTGAATGATCCAGCTCAGAGGGTATGGTTAATGGCTTCTAATGTCCCTGCATACCAGTAAAAAGTAGAGAACTGCAGGGATCTCTCCTTTGACCTGCTTTAACATCTTTATCACTGACCTGGAGGAGACAACACAGTGCACTCTTCTTAGGTTTGCAGATGACACCAAACTGGAGCAACCAGTCAATGCATTTGAGGGCAAGGATGCTATTCAGAGGGACTGAAGCTGAAGGCATGGGCTGGCAGAAACCTTATGAAATTCAGCAAGGGTAAATGCAAAGTACTGCACCTGGGATGGAATTAACCCTTGCAGCAACACAGGCTTAACACTGAGAGTTGTGAAGCAGCTCTACTGAAAAGTACCTGGGAGTATTGATAGGCAACCAGAACATGAGCAAGAGCCAGCAGCAAAGATAGCCGGGGCTGTATCAACAGAAGCAGAGACACTAGTTCTAGGAAAGCGATTATCCCCTTCTTCTCAGCACTGGTTAGACTGCATCCAGAATACTGTGTCTAGTTTTCAGCCATCAATATAAGAAAGACATTGATCAACAGGATTGAGTTCCCTAAAGGGTGACCAAGATGATCCGGAAGCTGGAGCATTTGCCTTATAAGGAGAAGCTGTAGGAACTGGGCTTATTCAGCTGCACAAGAGCACAGTAAAGGCAGGGGAGAGCTTAATAGCAACCTTCTAGTACCTGCAAGGCCAGAGAGACAAGACAGACAGACTTTCCATGGTGGGAGGTGCATTGGTGGGAGGATGAGAGACAACAGACATAAGCTGAAAGAAAAGAGGTTCAGACCAGGTATGAATAAAAACTTTTTCATTGTGAGGACAGCCAAGCACTGGAACAGGATGCCCAGAGATTTTCTGCAGTCTCTATCCTTAAAGGTTTTCAAGACCAAACTGGATAAATTCCTTAGCAACCAGGTCTGACCTCGTAGCTGATGCTGCTTACAGATAGATCAGACTAGAGACCTCCAGAGGTCCCTTCAAACCTGAATTACCCTATGATCTTGTCTGTCATTCTCAAGTGTGATTCTGCGGGAGCTCATATAGTTTTCCCTGTCCATCATTTAGCAGGTTTTGTTCTCCTCTTAAAAGTTGTTTGTTGGTAATAATTGCAGTGAAACTTAGCAGCCTGAGGATATGAGATGGCAATATTCTTTAGGTTGCCTGAAAGATCTCTCCAAACTCAGTGAGACGCAGAAAAATAAATCAGTTCTCTTAAAGGATTTGTATGGGTGTCTAGAAATTTAACGCACAAGTTTATCGTGTTGGATCATTTTTTTCTTCAGTATAGATGTTGTTAGAATTCTGAATCTTAAAGGCAGTAAGTTATCCCAGGTTTTGGTGTACATGTGATATTTTTAGTGTTCTTGAAAACATTTCTTTTTTCTTATCTCCTATGACAGGTGAGAAGAAATTCGTCTGTCCAGAATGTTCAAAACGCTTTATGAGAAGTGACCACCTTGCCAAACACATTAAAACACATCAGAATAAAAAAGGTATTCACTCTAGCAGTACAGTGCTGGCATCAGTAGAAGCAACACCTGACGATACTTTGATTACTGCAGGAGGAACAACACTTATCCTTGCAAATATTCAACAAGGTTCTGTTTCAGGAATAGGAACTGTTAATACATCTGGCACCAGCAATCAGGATATTCTTACCAACACTGAAATACCTTTACAGCTTGTCACAGTTTCGGGAAACGAGACAATGGAGTAAATATTACACAAGATACCTATTAATTGTGGTTATTTTTATACAGTAGTGAGAAGAATATTGTTCCTAAGTTCTTAGATATCTTTTTATTGATGTGCAAAAATTTTTGGATTGACAGTAACTTGGTTATACATGACACTGAAATGCCTTACTTTGTATGATATTCCATAGTATATTAAAATGGTAAAATTGCATGGGTTTTGTAGGTACTTTTGGAATCTAGAAGAGATGAAATTTTACCAAGTTATATTAAAAAAAAAAAAGAATTTAACGATGGAAATGGTAGTCTAACCAAATGCATCAATCCTGTGTGGTTTAGTGTAAAAAAATGAGAACATGTTGGTATTTATCTATTGTAAGATAAAAGAAGTTGATGGGTGAAAAGAAATCATGTTATGATAAAAGAAATTTTGTAATTTTCTTGATGACTGGAATTTTTATTATGCATAACTGACAAATCAAGTTTCCAAGCAAATGTTACATAGTGTAGGCTTTACTTAGCTCATCAACTTGTCATTTTGAAGCTAATTATTTTAATTAGGTTAACTATGTACAATATTTTAAGCATTACTCTTGTAAGATTTTGAAAACTACATTTTAACATGGAACTCTAGGGATAGTCACCTTTTAAATCCTATTGAAAAGCCATGTTTAAGATTTAATTTGCCAAAATGATGTCTTGTTAATATTCTTTCAATAACCAAGGTGGGCAATATAACCAATGTTTAAAAAGCTTAAAATGTTTAAAAAAAAATGTATAGGTTGAGGCATTTGGGTGGTAAGGCAAATGTTATAGTGAAGTATATCCCTTCTTTTGAACATTGGAGGACCAAAAATAAGGTGTATTGCGTCTCAACAGTGATTTTTATCAAATCTTTTTCCAAAAAACATCTGTCTGCCAGGGCCTTAAAAGCCATCATGTAAATTACCAGTAAAATATAACATATGCAAATACAACAGAAAAATCACTTCCATATTGACAGTACTCCCAAACACATGGATATAGTCATAGTGAACTAGGGGGGTTATGAGGTTTTTATTTGTTTGTTGTTTAGTTTTTGGTTAGTCAATCTGCATTTAAATATCAGCCATCTTTCCTTTTTTGCTTCTTCCCTTAAAAATTGTATGTATCCAGTACATTTAACTGATAAACATATATGTTTTTTATTATGCTGAATTTTCTTTTTATTTTTTAATTACTGTTTATATTTTCAATTATAGAAAAATGTACAAAATGAAGTTACATAGCCAGTCTGTAAGTGCTATACCATTTTCAAAAAATGTACAACAATAATTACTGCAGTTCACCTATTTACAAACATTTGGAAATCTGTTCATTTGTTATTCTTAAAACCACCTCAAATTTAAAGGCTACCTTATTGTACGTTTAAAGTGTATTATAACAGTGTGGTAGTTAATAAAACACTATTTTTTTTTTCTTTTGACTTGAGTTTACTGTACTTCTTGTTAACTAACAAGGTGTAATTTCATAATACATCTTGATTGCCTGAGATGTTTTATTATTTTGTGCTAGATGGTGGGAAGTAGAAATGGTGTTTCGTTTCCTTACGGGCAAGGACATGGTAATACACCACCTCCTTGCCCTCAGAAAGAACCCCATCTGTATGTGCATGGACATGTATGTGTTATATGTTATGTTGGTGTAGTGGTAACTTTTTTGACCTTATGCTGAGGAAGACATGAAGGAAACATCAGTCCTATCCTATAGAATATGAAAATAAAGTTGCATTTAAGTCCCCTGACACTTAGATGCCACAATACAGTCAGTCTTGTTAGGGAACTGTGGCTAAGAGGGATGTTTTAGATGGAGTAAGACAGACCAGTGAGAACTGTGAGATTAAAGAGAGTGATGGTTGTATATGATGCTATAATGAAAGTGAAAAGCTTTTATTTGTGAAGTCTAAAGTCTTGGAGTATCAAATGGCCAGGGGACAGACCAGGATAATTTAGGATGAACCAGGTAGAGTTCAGTCTAGAAAAGAGAGAACTGGAAAAAGTCATGAAGGGAAGATTTTCTGCATTTGCAGTTTAATGGAAGAAAAAGTTTAATGCAAATATTTTGAGACTCAGAGCAATAGGAAATGACAGGTATAGGGAAAAGGGAGTTAATTGACCATCAGCTTAATCTTCTGTTTAATAAAATAAGTGAGTGAAATTGGTTGGGACATTACAAGAGCAGCAGCTTGTGAGGGAATGTTCCATGGATGTTGTCAATATTTTAACATACTCTAAATCCTCTTCCTTTACACAGGTGAATGGGCTTGGTTTCCAAAAGTTTTAGTTCACAGAGCATGTTAGTATAAATTACTTCATTCTAATACTTAGGTTCTGTTTCTCATCTCTCTAGCCATTTGTAGCTATATTAGTGTGTTATTTTAAGAGGGAGGGAAGAGGGCTACTTTCTAAATGAAACTATTTTTCAAAAGTTTCATGGAACAACACTTTCTCTGATGTGCATCAGTGGATGAAGGTGTTCTGGTGCCAAGGGTTTTGATCCCTCGTTGCTGAAGATGAGATTGTTTTATTTCTCAGAATTTTAATGCTCCGTACATCAAGTGGTTACTTTAATTGCTGTTTATCTGGCACATTTTTTAAAAGGATATTTTGTTGTTAAGAATCTTCAGAAGGTAGAAGTTTTGGAAGAAAGTAACTCTGGAAATGTGCAGGAAAAAGTCTGGTGGAAAGCCTGCAGTCTAAGGGCCATCTGCCTAATGGCTCACAGCCATAGTGTTTGTGTCATTTGAGAATGCTGCTGTGTGTGTTCACATGTTACATGACAGAGATTTTTGAAAGATCTCTGCTTGCCTCCAGGGCAAGCGTTCATAAGCCCAAGTATAGGATCTTTGGTGTATCTAGGATTGTTGCTACCTCATGGCTTGCTTTTGTGGTCACTTTAGCAACTCATATGATGCCAAGACAAAATTGTGCATTCTGTAGAAGGCTTTCTGAGTTTATCTGTGAATCAGTTCTTCATGGGTTCCTGATGATGGTTGCTCGGTGTGCTTCTTGCTTCTTATTGGTACTATCTGTAGCATTTTACATATTTATTTTCACATCAGACTTCATAGCTTGTATAGTTTCTTGGTACGGTAGCCTTTAGATCCTGGATGGTTTGTTTCTCTTGCAGTCTGGTGTAATCACTGATTAAGAAGACCTTAAAACTGGTTCTGCAAGAAAGCATGAGCTTGAGAGCAGCCCATGTTATCAGTTTCAACAGTCAGGGTACTTATTTTCAGTAAGTACAAGCCTGTACATACACTTGCTATAATCTAAGTATTGTTGGGCTCATTCCTGGATGAACTAATGATTGATCCTTGCAAGTTATAAACTACTACCAATTCTTGCAGAGAACAAGAGATTTTAATCGTTGCTCCTTACCAGGCCAAGGGGCAATGAGAGTAAGGAGAATGATATAATCACTGAAACGCATGAGGAGCAGGATTTCTGGTTTGAAGATTCACATTTTCCTCTGGGAAGGGACTCTGCAGAGCTTTTCTTTTGGCTTGTCTGAACAAGAAGTATCGGGCTTTGAGGCATTTTGAGATGCTGAAATCAGCAAGATAAACCTTCCCAGTGGCTTCAGGAAAGCTCTGATACGTTCTCTAACAAGTTGTTCAGAGTGTCAGGGAATGAGGGAATGGAGCTTATAGTCACCTGTCAAGTGGTTCTTAGTTCCTTTAAGTAAAGAACTAACGTGCAGGTGGCTGTCTTTCCTCCAGCTTTTTACCACCACCATTACCACCAGAAATGTGGAGCATGCACGGTAGAACAGGGCAGAAGAAGCTGATGTAGCTGACTCAGATCTTATCTGGCAGATGATAATTTCTGTAAAAGGAGCACCTCCATTTGATGCTTCAGAATTGCTGTTCATTACTACTTCAGTGTATTCTGGTACATGTTTCCTATAATCTGTATCTGTAGGATGTCTGCTAGAATCTTAGCCAGATGTGTAGGTGCCTTATGCAGTCTCAAGTGTTGCTCCAAATGAGATCAGTAATTTATCACCAGATACGTCAGTCCTTCACAATTCCTGAGATGTCTAAGAGGTCACAGGCAAAAAAAAAAAAAAAAAAAAACAGGTAAGAGTAAAAAGCTCTTGAGTGTGATGTTAGGGTTTTGCAGCAGTCCAAAGACTCAAGTTGTCCCTTTGCTTAGAATTGTGCTGTGTGCCTTTTTTGTGCAGTGTCTCAGCCTTTGTGCTTGGAATATAACTATTTATAAAATGTGTACATAGTTTAATTTTTAGATACACAATACATGATGTACTGTGTATTCAAGATTTACGTATATTTCTCTGTATATGTGTGTGTGTGGAGGTAATATGTTATTTGAAGATTCATTTTCACCCAGAAGCCAGAAATGTTCCTGCCAGTGAAAACCTATTCTTCACTTCAGTGGTAAGTCTGCAGTATCTCTGACAGTTATAGCTAGCTACAGACTATGTATAGTAAGTCCCACAGTTTGGTAGTCATTGGGACCTAAAATTGCCCATACAAAGAAAGTTTAAGGTTTGCGTATTTTAAAATTAAGGAAAACACAAAACAAAATCTGCAAAGTAATAATACACAGCTGCTCTTCTTCTCTGATCAGCTGACACAGAAAGACTATGTGCCTACCCTTACTGTTTCTATTAGACAAGAATCATAGCCATTTTCCACAACCGGTGGAGTACTGGTGGTTTGCATCAGGTTGTTCTGTGCTTTTAGTTTCTGAAAGATGGTATCAAAAGGAAACATTTTATACAAGGGGTTCTACGTATGTTTCCTTCTTTAATCTTGAAAGTAAGAAAATAAAAGCCATTTCTGACTCAAACCAGAGAGTCTCTATGTAACTCTAGAGTTCACTTTTGCATCTTGACACTGACCGAGCCCCTGCCTGGACAAGTTGGTACACATTGTCAAGCTCTATCATTGCTCAGTTGGCAGAAGAATGCTCTGAAAATTATCTGCAAGGAAATAACCTTCCCTCCCCTGCTATGCTTTCTCTGTAGTGGAAAAGCCCAATTGCACAGATTTTGAACTCAACATGAGATGGACACCACCAGGAAAAGGTTCCAAAGCAAGACTCAGAACTGTTTATTGTTTGTGCACAGCTTTACTGAAAGCTTGAATCCTGAACATGTTAGTGGCATGCCTACACATAGAATAAGATTTACTTCTCTATGTATCTTAAACGTATTTGCATTTTTCACAAAACTACTTGAAGAACAGTAACTTTGCAAGGATTATATGCTGCTAGATCACCGTAAAAAGTAATTTTCAAGCACCAATGATTAGTTGATAAGTGGTATCATATAATCCAGCACACCTTTCTCCAGAAAGGTCTTGCAAGTAAGGACATCTTGGCCCCTGACAAGAAAAGAACCATCAGAGAGATGGTTGAGCTGAATTCCAGGCATGGACAAAATATCACCAAAATCTTACGTTATCTAAAGGAGTCCCTGACTTTCACATATGCTGGGCCACCCACCCACTCACATTCTTAAGTTCTCCCTTCTGTTTCTATAGAATTTACTCCCCTATGCAAGGTATTCACAGAATTTTATTCATAGTTTATGCACAAAATCCACAAATGGCTACTTCATCACAGATGCTTCATAGCTGTACTTCCCCCCCCCCAATCAGGTTGTGTTTTGATTTGACAGACAAACACTTAGGAGAATAACCTTATGTTGCAAGGAATTATTGCTGCTGCGTTAAGAAATGACACCATAGTGGAGGTTTGCAGGGAAAATCACTGGGATTCTGTGCATGTGTTCACCCCATGGTGGAGATGTCATGATGATGTTTCTGATCTACATTTACTGGTTAAATTGATTCCTGATTTCTATCCTTTCTGTCTAGGCCACTGCATGAGTACATAGGAAAGGTAGTTGAATACAAAAAAAATCCTATTGCTTCTGCTCACTGTGGGTTTTGGAGACCTTTTTTTAATTCTGTGAATCATTCTTTTCCCTGGTACTAGCGTCTGGTTCTAGTAGTACAAATGGTACTGCTGGAAGGGTTAGTGGTGAAAACAATGGTTCCTGAAAGGGAAGAAGCCATGTCTTGTTAGCTTGGCTGCAACCTGCTCTGGAACCTTCCACCAACCCTTTCACTTCTCTGAGCTCCTGCTATTTCTGGTCACACTCTGCCTGTTTCAGAGGTGCTGAGCACAAGCTAATCTGGTACAGCTGCACCCCTTACTATGTAAGTCTTGGATCCCTGTTGGGACCTCTGCTACAACCTTACATAAAGAAACATTTAATGTTGAAGAGTGGTTGGAGCAGGTACAGGGCTGCGTGGCAGCACTTCGCAGTATTTCTCAAGAGCAGCACTGGGGAGTGGATAAGAAGAGCTGAGGTAAGTGAGCTGGTAACGAGCAGCTTGTGAGTACCAGACACTGAACAAGCAGTGAATAAAGGAGTGCTCTTGTGGCACGGCCT